CTCTGAAATATTTTCTATTCATTGACCAATGAAAATTGAAATATTATGTTCTAAAGTTTGTTCCCACTTATTAAAATAATATATTAGTAACTTTTTGCGTGTTAGTGGTGTTATATATAGGTACAAAAAGTATTATGTAATAAGAAAATTATTAATAACTTATTTSTTRCATGCTAATAAAATATTAGAAACAAATATTTTAAAAATAATATTTAAGAAATACTTGCTTTTGATCTGAAATATTTAGCAAACATATAAATATTTCCTAAATGTGTATGTAATATTTTGTGCTATCTGGGAGAGTGAAATATGGTTATAATCGAAAATTATAACAATGAACACGAGATAAAATTTCTTGTATGTTGGGGTGTTTACTGCAATAACTTTGAGTATTCATTTTAGTAGTTTCCTAGTTATTACTTCTTTAATTATAAATTATATAAAATTCTGTGTTTCGAATGAAAATTTACTCCCTACCTAATCCAAATTTTTGGTGTATGTTTATGCCCATTATATTTTTCTCATCAACGTTAAAGAAAATGTTCTAAGGAGTAAATTAAAAAAAAAACGCTCAAAACAATTTTAAATTGCAATACTACGAAAGCGTTGATGTTTAAGAGAACACAACTGCAATTTTCAAATAAAGTACGATAATTTAGCACATTTATTCAAGATCCTTAACCATTTGCCAGCCCGCAATAAATGGCTCTTAATTGCTGCATTTAAAAGCCAAACTAATTTACTTACGTACATAATCCATTTAAAAGAGCAAATGTAGAAACTTCGTCAAAAGCTTTGATTAAGAGTATTTAGCTTACAGACTTTACAGTCTCAAGGAGAAAAGATAGTTTTTACAAACTACCTTTTCTAATCCTTAGCAGAGAATTAATCTGTCGTTTAATTAATCTTTTTCGACCATTATTGAAACTTTAAGAACTTTCAAAATTAACAAAATAAATTACTAAAATTTATAAAACTAAGGTTATCACGGAAATTTAAAAATCAAAGGTAATTTTATGACAAAATTAAGTTTCAGAAAAAATAATATTTCATGAAATCGTTGAAAGGATCACATGTAACTTGAAGTGATTTTCAAACTGTTACTCCGATTACTTAATTCTAGAAAATGACTCGGAATGGGTTGACATAGTCGAAAAAGAGCTGAGACATATCCTGGAACCGAAACTTTTAGAGTTATCGATGCAAGGTAATCATGGAATTACCCGATCTGCTCTAAGTGGCAGCATTTCGTCAATTACTCCGCCTCTTCCACCCTTATCGGGAGGTGATAATTTATCACCCACAATTACGCCAAAGCCAGGAGGAAAATTTAAGGGGTAAGGAATTAACTGGCCCAGCACTTTCTCTACTCTTCGAGTTTCGAGTGATGGTCCGACAAGTTTTCAGTTTTTGTTTTTATACTTTGCTCTGGTTAGATCGACTGAAACTAAATTGCATACTTTATATAGAATAAACATATTAATTAAAACCCACTAAATATAAAGTCTAGTGAAAACCGCTTCTAACAAGACATATGTACTTCTTTGCGGCAACAGGAACCGTAATGAAATTACGGGTGCATTTACTAGAAAACCACTCGAATATTAGATATTATTTACGAACATTTTTCACATGTATTCCAAGCATAAACGCAAAAGAATTGTAAATGTTTAAGAGAATTCTGTTTATATTTCAACAAATCGATCCGTCCTTAAAGTTTACAACCAATTGCAAGCAGCCCGTCTTCGCGTACCAATATAAAAATTGGTTCAATAAAACATTTCCGTAAAGAATAACTAGACTCATTCCAATTTTTATAAGCTGCACTTTTATTATTTTCTGCCAGAATATTTCTAAATTATCTCATTTTTTTTCTTTATTTTTAGGTTTCCACGAGATAGAGGTTTTGACTGTAAAGGCAGGCTACATTCCAGGGACATTGATGAGAGTACAAAGACCAATAAATATTCCAATAAAATTGATTACCATACAGCGCTTAGAGGCAAACAAAGTGAGTGGCAATTAAAGAATTTTGTTATATATTTGAATAACATGCAATTTCACGAAGTCGGACAAATTCAGGCAAATTGGTGAATACTCTACACTTGAAAAATTTTAGATTTTTTGTAATAAAACATAATAAGGGTTTACGTACTTTCTAAGCCGCTTCAAATTCTTAAGCTGTATCTTTTGTAGTTTGTAATATGCACCCAAACACCCTGTATAGGACCATTAAGTCGCTATAGACCATTAATAACTAGCCATTGAACGCATAAATCGCACATGTAAAAATTCAATTTTTGCTCCAAAAAATCATGTTTTAGAAAAAACTTAAAGCGTCGTAAGTGCTTTAAATTGTATATTATTTTTACTAGAAGGAAGTGAGCCGTAACCGAAATAACTACAAAAACAGGTCAGTTTTGAGCGGTTCTTAGTAATTGCAGAATTTCATTTGAATCTATCTGCTCTCAAACACCCTGTTCACCATTCAGAAGCTTCCTGGGTCAAGAACTAACAATTGAGCGCAAAAAACCACATGTAATTTTTTTTCAATCAAGAATTTTGTAACAAATAAGTAATGAAGCTATTTGGTTTGCTATCATAAACTTTTACCTAAAATTACAATTGCCACGACGTTAGACATTTTTATTCAAGTTAAATAAAATAAACATAAAGTTTATTATTTAATATCTACTTTTTTCTTTCAATTTGTTGTAGTTTTTGGTTTAGACAGTACTGATTTTACCTCAACCACAACAAGATCGCTTGACCTAGAATCAATTTTGGATGGTCAAAGTGATTCCGATGCTAATTTGAGCGTAGCAGATACCAAAGCCATCAGGAAACAACTGGAAGGACTGGAAAACATGTATTCGGAAGTATTGAAATTCTTGGGAGTTAATAAACGAGTTACTCCTGGTAGATATCAACCGTCAGATCCCAGAATTCACAAAAAAAGGTACACATAGAAATGATGGAAAGAAAATGAAAATGAGAACACGATTTTCGTGTATTGTATGTAACAGGTATAAGAACGCAATTATACCTGTTTGTATACAATCAACTAGTCGATCCATAATTATTCTTGTAGTTTTAAAACAGTTCTTACTTACACATTGCAAATATCGAGTTTTAATTGATCATCTGATTCGTCATTCTTACTTGCGAATATCGCATACTAAACTCTAAAAATTAGTAGAATAAATTAGATTTTGAAAACAGAAATGTTGGGTAAGAAACTGGGCGTTTTGGGGAGTTGTCTTCAGCTTCAAATGCAAATTTGTATTGCCTCAAAGCATGTAGTAATAGCAATGATTACTTAATCAAAAAAACAATATTTTAATGGTATTTGGAAAACGATTCTCATAACTTCAGACATGGAAGTATGTCATCGCTACCATCATCATCCGTGAGTTCAGTAAGAAGAGATCGCCGGTACGTACGCGGTGGTGTGCCAGAAGATAGAAGAAGAGGCCGCGAACCACGTACAACCGCACGCCGATTCCAAAGGCTAGAAGCTCATGTAGTTACTCTAGCAAGAAGTGTGGCTCATCTATCAAGCGAGATGAGAACACAACATTTGGTAGTCCAAGAGATTGAGTCAGTGCGACAAGAAGTTGCTGCTTTGCGAGCGCAAACAAACATGCTCAATATCAGGTAACTAATGACAAGTAAATGCAATCGCAAAACATCATTAATTATATGATTTCTTTACAGATCTCAATCTGCCCGACCCGTAACTAGTTTAGAGCTACCCTCATTGGCAAATCCATCAAGAGTAAAAAAATTGACGAAGTTTTTTGGAGATGAACCACCTTTACTAAGACTATTTTTGCGGAAATTAGGGTATGAGGTGCGTAACTCGAAAAAAAATAATTGAGGACAATATCAATCAGATTTTTTAATTATGGTAAAACAAATAATTTTGCAGAAATACGCGAATGCTTTTGAAAATGAAAAAATTGGAATGGTTGAGCTGCCCTATTTAACAGAGGAACGGTTGCAAAAAATGGGAGTCCCGCTTGGACCAAGACTCAGGATAATGCAAGAAGCCCAAATATCTGTATATAAAGACAACACATTATGTATTGTATAAAATATTTACATTTTCATGTTTCTGTGAACAAGCAATATATATTTTTAAATGACATGAATCTCTCCTCAAGCAGCTTAAGATTTATAACTAGCTGGCACCAAATAAAAAAAGTAAATATTTTTCTAGATACCATGGAGCTTTATTTTTTATTAAACCTATTTCACAACATACACTGAAATAATAACAACTTGACAATTGTTGCTTAATTTGCAAGTATAATATACAGCTACGTTGTATTGTATTGAAGGAGATTAATACTCATTTTAATGCAAATTTTAGTTACAAAGCGAAATTCTAGTTATTTTTTCAGTTAATTGTGTATTAACTTTTAGCAACTTTTTTCTGTGTATTTGTAAAATTTGCAGCCAATCTGCTTTGCAATTGGCAAAATTGCAATTCCGTTGAATAAAACAATGATTTACGCATATTTCAACTGATGATTGATAACAAAAAACGTGCAATAAAACTGAGAAAATAAACTAGTCAATTTATTAGTGATGCTAATTTTTTTTCGTTACAGAAAAAGTTAAATCTTTAATACTTGATAACGGCAAAGGCATTTAACAAGTACTAAACATTTAAAAAATTATTAAATGTGAAACTCAAAACTACGTTAAGCTAATTGTTAAGATCATGGTGGCCAATTATGTGAATGTGTTGATCTGTAACAAAAAAAATGAGTATGTGTGTCAGAATTCCACTTCTTCCCTAAAAAAATATGCCATAGAAAGGAAAAAATACTCACAATGTCGTCAATCTTCAGGATTGATCTGACGGTTTCCGTTGCGAACGACAAAGCCGATGTTGTTACTAACAACGGCTGCACTACATTTTCTTCTAATATATCTGAAATGCATCCCTTACGTACATTAATCCCAGCAGATATTTCTCCTTTTGCGTGTCTATTTCGCAATTCGGTAACAGTCTGTAACATTAATTTCGAAAATAATTAATTTACTTGTATTTGGCCAATGTTAATTCATTATGTACCTGAATTGGGTTGAGACCAGCGTTTTCAGCAAGAGTAAATGGAATAATTTCCAAAGCGGTAGCATAAGCCTTAAGGCAAATGCTGTCAATTCCTTCCAGTTGTTTATTGGCGACGTCAGTTAATTTCAAAGCCAATTCGGTTTCGGGAGCTCCGCCGCCTGCTATTAAAGCCTGCTTGCGAACAAGGCATCGAATCACACATAAAGCATCATGTAGAGATCTTTCCGCTTCTTCCAAAACCAACTTATTTGATCCTCGAACAAGCAGAGTGATGGTACGACCAGGGTTTTGGATCCCTAAAAAACATTAAAAATCTAACATAATCCTATAGCCCCCAAAAACAATTAAATAATTAATTTAATAATTAAATAAGTATTTTGTACCTGTCACACGAACCATCCTATTTCCTCCAACTCCAACTTCTTCTACAAGGTCAGCCGAGACCAAATTATCAGCAAGAAAATGATCAAGAGAAGCAATTGGCCGGCAGCTTAAAGTTTTACAGACAAACTCTATGTCTTCCCTTTCAATATCCTTGATGACCATGCATTTGATTTTGTCCAAAAAGTGAATTGCCAGATCGGAGATGGCATCCCTCAGAATTGATTTTTGAACCTGAAATTAAACACAGTAGCTATGTACTTACAATATACTTGCAAAGTGGGAGGATATGAAGAAAACTTGACGCGTAAATACAATAAAATATTTCAAAGTAGGCTTGATAACTTACCAGTAATACATTGCAGCCAGCTTTCTTAATCTGCTTCACAATGTTCAAAATGTAAGCTCTTTCCTCTTTTAAAACTCTATCCATTGCGGCGTAATCAGACACAATGATATTATGGTCCATGTCTGTTTTAGGTGGCGAAATGCAAAACTGAATCAGCCCAATTTTCGCTTTTTCGATTCTCTTCGGTCCAGAAACATTAGCTAGTTTTTGTGGAAAAACTAAACCGTTGATTAATTCAGTGTCCTCAACTGTACCCCCAAGTTGCTTAAGTACTTTGATGTCAGAAAGATTGCAAGCACTTTCGCGACCTGCAAATACATATAAACATTTCAAAGTCGAGTTGTACTTCGAAAAATCACTAATTTTGTATTGACTAGTATTAGGGTTAGTGAATGTAACTAACTGACCTGGTTCAACCACTTTCAAGACAGCATCGACTGCTAAAGGGGCTAACTGGCTAGATTGCTGAGATACCACTTTTGAATTTAAAGCTGTAGATGCACTTTTGATAAGCTGCAGTCTGTTGCTTAATTCAACAGGGGTAGCAATATCATTTAAAATCTAAAACAATACTCACATTCAATACCTAGTAAACTACTTCCTTGAGCATTTAGTTGTTCCTATTTTTGAGTGGAAATGACGTCGCCTTTTATTATAATAACTTACCTTTAATGCATGAACTGCGGCAATTTGGAAAGAATCGGAAATAACTGTTGGATGAACTCCACGGCTTAACAGTTTTTGAGCAGCATCTAAAAGTGCTCCAGCAATAACAACTACCGAAGTTGTACCATCTCCAGCTTCAACATCCTGAGCTCTGGACAACTCCACCAGCTAAAATTGAATTTAGAATAATTTTATTATGAAGTACTTTTAATAGAATTTAAACTGTTCACCATTTTAGCTGCTGGATGTATGACATTGATTTGCTTTAAAATAGTTGCTCCATCATTGGTAATAATTACTTCTCCATTGCCAGATTGAATCTGCAAATAATAGAGCGATTTTAAAAATCGATTGAAAAAAATATATATGGACTAGAAGATGGAAAGATATTTTTCAATTGACCACTTGACCATTAAGATTGAACTGATATTTATGACTCAAATGTAGGAAAACTTGACGATTTAATTTTGTTCTATTGGGTTTCTTTCTAACAGAACAGGAAAATCATGTCACATCTGAATTAACATATTTTAGATTACCTATGTTAATTAACAATTGTTAATACTAGAAAATTGAATAATTGGAGCAGGTTGATTTTTCATCTGTGTTTCTTCTTGTCACTTTGCAACAACATCTCGATGTCCCGATAGGTATTAAATTATAAATATGTTTAAATGTTAACTCTTGTTGGTCATCTGAGAGGGCCCTATTTCTTATTCCTTCGATTCGATATTACCGTTACTACGTTTACGCGATTTTATTAAAACTAAATAAATTTCATTTAATTAAACAAGCAACAAAAAACCTTTAAAAATCCCTTCTAGCGTTTGTTGGCAGGTTGATTCAATTTTCCAGAATATCAAACAGGTACCGAAGTATTGAATTTGGCGCATTTAACTTAGAAGGTTGCTAAACTAGTCTAGGACCGTTTTTGCTGTACTGAAGACGTTCAACAGTTCAACATTAATAATTGCATCAAGTCTTTAAATTATACCGACAAAGATTTCACTACAGAGAAAAAATTGGTTGTTCTGACTGGTTATTCATGAGCTGATTATTCTATATTCTTCTGATTGACTATACTCCTAAACCTTTGAATCACCCAAAGCTAAAGTAAAAGCTGCCCGTCATGTGATTAATTGAAATGTAATCTTTCTGAGTCGGATCAAATAATGGTAAAAACTACATACCATTTTATCCATTCCTCTCGGACCCAAACTTGTTCGAATAGCATCGCAAACAGCTAGAAGAACAGAAGCAGTAAATTACAATTATTCCATGTTAAAGTATTACTCATATTTCGTGTATTTTAATATTTGTATACCTTTAGCGGCATTTATGTTGCTCTGCCGTACATCTGTGGGTTTACTTTTGTCTTTATAAGCCAAACTTTTGCTTTGAACTGAATCACCTGCCTCCTTTGGAGCAGTCATTTTATAAAATTTGTGTTTCTAATTAAAAAAGTAGACAAATTTTCGAGATGTATCTAGATTTAAAAAAAATTCAGAATCTCAAAATTATTGTATGTTTATTTCGAATAACGATGGACACCCGTCAAGTGAAATGTCACTGAACGTCATATTCAGTGTGGCCACAGAAGCCAAATATTTATCCCTGCATGCATGTCTTGTCTACTTGTCTTCATCTATGCATGTATGCATGCAAATATCTGGTTTTGTCAGTATTTTTTCAAATTTGTTAATATAACGGACAAAATTGAAGCCTTAAAATTCAGGCACAATATTTGTTTAGAGAACGCAGATAAATTAAAAATAAAATTTATTGTAAAAAACGAAATGTAAAATTTTTTTAATGAAGGAAAATTATGAATTTTAAAACCTTTGAAAATGAAATGAAAAAAATGAAGCAAATTTATACGAAAACATAAAATTATTTTTCAGTCACAGTATAATTATCATTAATGTATTGTCTTTAATGATAATTTGCATTATTTTAACATTTTTATTATTCTTTTTCTTTCATAATTTTGCTTCGTACTTATTTTTGGCATTTGTCTGAACATTTTTTATTGAAGCCGCATATTTTTATAATATTTCGGAACCTACGTGTGGCCACCCTGATCATTCAAGCAAAGCGTTTGTCGGCAGTGCGTTTGACAAATTCCAGTTTCTTTACGTGAGTACAGCGAAAATGGTAAGGCATCGTTCACTTGAAAGTGTATTATCTTGAAATATTTGTAACATCTTTTTAGAAAACTTCAAAATAATTCAAGTAGATGAAAGCCTGCTTCAGTGGTTTATTGTTTTTCTAAATCTTTCCTGTTCACAACTTTATAATTTTTAATGTATGTTTTTTCCTTCAGTCCACACACAAGAAAAAGACTAGAAAGTTGAGAGGACACGTCTCTCATGGACATGGACGTATCGGTAAGCTTTCTATAATATTATTAATGCAACAATAAGAATGAGCAATTTTTAAAATAAAAATCCTATATAATGCTAATGTAAGGTTATGCATCTGCCTTGTTTCTGTTAAAACATTGAACATTTCCAAAGCCCTAAGCTGAGTAAATGTTTTCAGATGATGATAAGTTTAACGGGCGGTATGAATTTTATGATTCATGTTAATATTCTGATTTCCAAACTTCTCTTTCGTCTACTTTATTTCCTCTAAAACTTTAAGTAAGTAACCTTGTGTCTTATCTAGGTAAGCACCGTAAGCATCCTGGAGGTCGTGGTAACGCTGGAGGCATGCACCATCACCGAATTAACTTCGACAAATACCATCCTGGTTACTTCGGAAAGGTACGCTTTTGAATTACCGCATCTAAAGCAGTTATCAATTTTAAAGTATCCGCTGGATCAACTGCGGATAAGTGTGCTTTATATTTGTATACAAATTTAGAAACGCGTGCACAAGCCTGCCTTCCAGTTAGGGTGAATTGCTTTTCTGTTAATTTTGGAGGATAAATGTTCAAAGCGATTTACATTTACTTCGTACTCTTGTAAAAGCATTTTCAAACTGAAATCGCCAAATAAATTAACATTAATTACCATATTGGAAACTATTCCATCTGTCCTTGATATTTCTTCCAATCTGATTTACTGGTAGCACATCTATATCTAACCATTGCCACACTTCATCATTAAATGATGAGACAACCGACGGGCGGAATGACCCAATGATTAATGTCGTTTTCTGATAACCAAATGAAGATGTATAATAATAATCTATGTGAAGGACAAGCTAGTTACACTTTCTGTGTTTTTACAGTTGGGAATGAGAAATTACCACGTTAGGAGAAATACTAAATGGGCCCCAGCGATCAATCTGGACAAACTGTGGACCCTTGTGAGTGACCAAACGAGGCTAAAATACAAGTCTCATCCCGAGGGCAAAGCCCCCGTCATAGACATCGTGAAAGCCGTAAGAAACTTTGATTATTTGAAAAACATTATGGAACGACACTCTAAATTTCAAGTTTATCGACTGGTTAATCTAGTTTATTAAGCAATGATTACTTACAGGGATACTACAAACTTCTTGGTAAGGGACGGCTGCCTGATCAACCCGTAATTGTTAAGGCCAAGTTCTTCTCAAAGAAAGCGGAAGACAGGATTAAGGCTGTAGGTGGAGCCTGTGTCTTATCGGCGTAGGTTCGATTTTTCAATAAATAATAAGAAATTCACGTTTTTTTGTCATTCTCCTTTGAAAGCTGAAACATCCTTAATAATACGTTTACGGGGTTTTGTAAATGAGAAAATCCTGCTGTCCAATTTTTGAGACGTGTCTGATATTTTCTTCTGTAAGTAATGTGAAAACCAAATAATCCCTATTAATTTGTGCATCGCAAGATTGTGAAGAACGTCTGAGCTGCCTCTTAATACCCTTAGCTTAATGCCGCATTAATTCAAATGTCTAGTACAAAATAACTGACAACAAACTTATATTACATACGTAGAAAGATACAATGCAACAAAATACTTTAACTACTTAGATGTTAGTACAATGATTAAAATCTATGTACCTATAAATTATGCTAAACTTATATCAGTTTCGTAATTTGAATCTCCTTGCATAGGTATTGTTAATTCATGCATCATATCAAAGAAAGTAAGTATGGGATAAAAATACAATAAATATTTTAAGTACTTACAAATAAATACTATTCTTTTGCTTTTAATTGTTTTAAAATCTGATCGGACACCACTTTTGTTGCTGTATCAGCGTTGGGAATTAAAAATCTGTCCATATCGGAAATCTTTAAATTTTCCCCGTCAGGTACACCATATTTAAAAGTAATCAATTCAGGATGTCGTTTCCTTGCGGTTATTTTTACAATGGCCGACAAGGGACGTTTAACTATCAGTTCAGCAGAGCCTCTCGGTTCTGGTACTTCTCGTAAAACGATCAGCTCCGTATCTGTGATGATGAGGTGGCTTTTAAACATTGATCCGTTCATACGCACTTCCTGGCAGGGAAAGTGCTGAATTACATCAGGTTTTTTAAGACATGACTGGATGTTCACTATTTCATGACTGTCTATATCTTCTAAAGATTGAGTCTGAAAATAAATCAATTCTATTTTCATTATCATTCACATAACACAGTTCTTCTTCCAAGAATAACTTGTAGAAAGTATTTTCATCATCAAACTGGTTTTTGGTTTCCTTTATAATTAATGCAATGTATATCCTGCATTTTACTTGATTTAATTATAACTTAAAACAAACTGTATTAATAACGAAAAAATACTGCTTAACTTTCAATACTTACCAGATTGCAATTTATTGTATTTATATTGTTCCATTTTGAAAGTAGTAAATGGAGGTGAAAAATATGCAATGTTTTGAAGATATTGCAGTTTTTATCAGCAATTTAAATAGTAATTTCACTTCTGATAAGCTAATGGATTCAACGACTCCGAATATGCCACCCTAATTTATAGCAATTTGTTAAAGCAGAACTCCAATTAATAAAAGAAACCGAAATATTACACTCATGAAAACTTGTAGAAGAATCGAATTAATCCCCAATGACATAAAATGGCGAGCTAATTTCAACCATTTTTAAAAAGCAAATTACTACGGTGACGTGAAAGTGTAAGTGAAATGTTGGACAAAATATTCAATATTCATTCAATTTGTTCTATGAAACGACAACGAACCAGAAGGCTAAAATTTAGTGAATATGATGACCTTAATTTAAAAGATAGAAGATGATCACATATTTTTTACTTCTTATCTTTTCAAGAATTTTTACGTTTCCTATGAATTTGTGCATTGTTTAGTCCGATTTCGGATTCGGAGATACACAGGTGTGTCTCTCGCATCCATAAACATAATCTTATTTTTTATTGTCGGCAAGATAGAGATAAATATGAGAACATTATCGATCAATTAAAACAAATTATGAATACTTTCGTTGAAAATTGGCCAGATCTTCATTCATTAAATCAATAATGAGTTTGAATAGATGGAAACAAATCATAGCTTGAACCAAAACTACAAAACTTACCTCAAAACTTGCAACATTATCGTGATCATCATCTATACTAAATACTGGCGCAACGTCTCTATATCTCCTTCCTATTCTATCACTGCTAGATACGTGCCTTTCTGGTACTGGGCTATTCGTTGGGTTCACAATGTATTCAATCAATTTTCCTGTGACCTCGGCAGATTTCAAACGCATCGCAGCAGATAATTTGCCTTAAAATGCAAGTAGTAGTTTTGGCATACATTTGTGGTTTACACCCTTACTAATTAAGTATGACTGCCCACTTTTTACGTTGGATTGACTAGCATTGTTGGACACGTAATGTGGCGCACAAACGATACAATAACGTGGATTATGGTCTTGCAAATAACTTAAATTCTGCGCGAAATATTCGTGAAGAGCCACATATCCTCCAGCCAGTAAAGAAACATACTGAGTGTGTTTTTGGAGAAATGAAGCTACAATCATATGCGTATATTGGTCTTCTTCATTACGACCAGATCCAAGGAAGCACAAATGTTCACCACCTACAAACGATAATATAATTCTTATATTAGTAATACTTGAAAACGTGTTCACATAAAAGTGCCGTGGTTGACGATGTATTTCTTTGTGGTACTTTGAAGCATAGAGGATGCCTCAAAATTAAACATAAGTTAAGTATCTTTTAAATGCAGTTACAAATTTTTCAGGTTGAACTGTAGGTCATTGTGACTGTAAAAAAAGTGAAACAACAATAACTGTCCTTTTACCTGGCCGATTCAGACAAACTGGAAATGTTCGATAAACAAGAAAATTGATATCAGCGCACACCTAGGAGACCTGATGATTCCAACTTTGCCGTTAAATTCAAAAGTGAGTTTAAGATCTTACTTCCCTCTTGATTTGATTCCTTAGGGATAATAATATTATTACTATTATTAGGATATAATAATATAAGAAAGAATCGACCAATTGGCTGCAATCCAAAAACATGAAACAGAAAAAGCACAAACTCAAACTAATTGTCGCCAAGTGACGCTGCGAGTAGAGAAAAGGTACATAAGAAAACATATAAAGAATTGAAAAGAGCATCATGTTATACAATACTTTGGCCACTATAAACTTCAAAGTACCGGAAACAGTTAGCTCACTTGCTAGTATTATACAAACATGTATTTCTAGTTTTTTGCTGACACTTCCTGTGTTTATCTATATATACCTGCAGTAGAATTATGAGCAATAGCTTGCTTCTGGGCGCTTAACAATCCTTGAACCGCCGTTGCAAATGCACTGGGCTCTTGCAACATTAGAGTGCAATCTAAATGAAATGCCGTGGGTAAATGGCCAGCATTGAAGTGTTCGATAGGTCGACAATCAACCAAAAAAAATCTATAAACATACCCAATCTAGATTTAACAAAATTACACGTTCGAATTTAACACTAATAATAAAAAGAATAAATCAAGGCTAATTTCGAACATACCTCACAGCGTCGACACTGGTTGAATCCTTCGCAATATTTTCGACGAGCTCATGAACAGACACTGGTAAACATAGAGCCTGAGAAACCGAGGCCACAGCTTCGTTGCGATCTGAAATTGAGAAAAACAGCCGTCTGGCTAAATATATTCGGCCTCAAATGATTAATTGTTTCGAAACCTTACCTTATTGTAAACAACAAAATATAAACAAGGTTTATCATTTATATTAGCGGTATTTTTTAAATTATTATTAAATTTGAACACATTGTACATTACGCCAAGTAACCAGCTTATTTATTAAAAAATGCTTTAAATTTAATTTCAAGCTGTGAAAACTTAAAAACCTGAATCTGATTTGAAAATATTTGAGAAACTACTGCTAAGCACTTACCATTATAAATTGTTTGCAAAAGATCATTCCGAAATGACATCGGTGTTTTCAAAGCATAATACTGTGCCAAAGAGCAAAAGTCCGCAACATCTTCGGCTTCAAGCCCACAAGGCATATTCGAAAGACTAGCAATAATACTATCGCGATCATCGCTTTTCATCGAAATGATTTGGTCTCTGGCATTTACCACCATAATAAGCGATAGAAAAAACACAAAAAATGGATCGGACTGTTGAAAATAGTAGTCCCACATATTTATCACCACTTGCAAACTGCATGTAGCGGCAAATAAGGACTGGAACCAGGCTAAGCAATAATGCTCTGGAGTAATGCGTTTGGTATCAAGAAACGAGCATAGTTCTGGATCGTGGTATAAAAGTAGCAGACGCAAAATGTGAAAAGCGTTTCCATTTTTCTCGCAACTCTGAGGTATGAAGGTATCGCGTATGGCTTCAAATAAATTGTAGGTAGTGGATTTTGGGACTTTTAGTGTGAGAATCGGTAGAAGTATTTCTATCCATCCATTATGTCGCGAATAGCTCATATTGCGACTTTTGCAGTAGAACGTTATAATGGACTCCAAGTCCGAAATAACTTGAATTTTGTCTTCTTCATCATTTCCAAGGTTCGACACAAAGTTTTTACAATCTTCGCGCAAAATATTTTGGTTAGGGAGATCGTACACTTCATCGAAATGATCAAGCTGATTTCCTTTATCTCTTACATCCAAACAAATCTGAAAATTACAAAAATAAGCCATTTTATATAACAATTTGCAGAAGAACATGTAATGACAAACATTTTGGTTTGCTTAAGAAATACAGCAGAAAAATGACAAATTGTCAATTTCAAAGGATTAGGAGTTGGGTGAAAAAGTTATCGGATCAAAGCTCATTTCATTAATCAACCATCCTGCACATTTTCATGTAAGAAACAGCATTTTAAATTATTTTGTGCCATGGATGATAATGGTTTCCTAATAAAGTTATTATCGTAGAAAATTGTCTAATTGTAATTTTACACCACATTTCTAAGCATAGTTCAAAAAATATGTTCGTGTAAAATTCTATTGAAACCCATCAGAGTGCTCAGATAATATAATTAGAATAACCCACTCCCTATAGTTAAAGCCCAAATACCTACTTAGTAGAGTTATTTGATATCTTGGGTTTGGCAAAAATCAACAGAAATGACGAATGACCCTGATGTGAACAGTTATAATTGGAGTGTACCTTACTATCTTCATTAATAAAAATTGTTGAAACAGGCTCACTCAGCTCATCAGTGTTGAGTCATAATGCTAGCAAATAGGATTTGACACTATATTTATTCCTTTTACATTAGCTAACACTAACCTGCCATACATCAGACCTCAGGTTTTCTGGTAACGGTTTTCCTTTGCAAATGCAATAAATATCAGAAACAGAACAACCCTCCAAAAGGGCATTTTCCAGCTCGTTAATCCTAGTTTTAAAAATTGTTTATTAAATGTTTCCAGTTGAGCAGAAATGTAATTTTCATCCTTACCAAAGACTATCATCATCAATCACTGCCATTTTAACATGTTTTATACATAAGCTTCAGAGCAAATTTTAATAAAAATCAAAAATAAATCTACACAACTCACAGATGTTGAAATTTGGGATTGTTTGACACTGACTAGTATGTAGTCTGTGACACTGACAATGGAACATATGGAGATAGTCTCAAAACTCATATCGATATAATAATCTCGACATAGAAACAAATTTTTCGATAAAATGACATGGCCAGCAAATCAAATGCTGATACCGCCAATGGGCACCACGCCCAAACTGCCAAAACTAATTTACTTTGCATTCGAAATGAATTTAGTTGTAAAAAATTATAATTACACATACGGTGCTAAAAACCTCCAATGTAGATGATCTGAGCCTGTATTTATATGTTTTATTTAATTTCTTAATTTTTTGCAGTTTTAAATTTGCTAGTAATGCTGAAAAACATGTCCAATTTTTGGATAACAATTTTTTTAAAACTTTTGATAATCTCTTATTATAATTACAATTTTTTTAAATTTAATATAACCATTTTGAGAAATTACAAATTCTTAAAAAATACAAGATACAAATTTTGCAACCGGATAAATTGAAGAAGGAAACATAGTCTCATCGAAATATTAAATAGTCTAAAAACCCGAAAACACCGACTGAATAATTTATATCTGAATAATGTAACAATATGCACAATTAGATCGTTTTTAATTCGCCTCATTTTCATATCGTTTGTTCTTTTTCGATTATATATAGTTATAATAGTGCTAAGTTTGTTCCATTGAATCTCAAGGCCTCCAAAACCCTTCAGCCGACTAAAATGCTATTTCAACTAATTGATAGTTTAAAAAAATCATTTTCAGTAGTCGTTTTTTCGAAAATTGGAAGCAGGCATGGGTACTGAAATTAGGTTAGGTATAGTTAATGATTTTAGAAATCTGCATTTAATTTTACAAAACATTTCCACAAAGTTAACTGACAAAAACAAACTATGTTCAGTGGGTTACATTAAATATCACAGAAAAACCGTAAAGAAACGTAGTCTTGTAAATTCTTTTACATACAAGTAATAAACAAACCAACGAAAAAAGGAAAAATTCTGCATCTAGACACAGCATTTGCAAACCATGTTCATATAAATGTTTGGCTTATTTCGCCGAGCTGATTCTCCGATATGCAGTGCCACATCAATTTTGAAATACATGCTTACATTATTTTACAATTTTGAAACACATTATCAAATGTAATCCTTACAAATATATCACATTCATAATTCGGAATTATTCGTCTGCTGTATAAACAGCTTGTTCTTTTCCCTTGTAATTTTAGCCTGTGGAGAAGGCAGCACGCTTTGAAGCTGCCTGGGAACAATTTCAGTTCGGGCAATACGGGTTATTCTTGTAATTAAGCTGCTTTTGTTAACTTTACTGGTCGATCCAGCAACTGGTCGTGGTATTGATTGTTTTCCAAATATGCGCATTATTTTGCTGTCGTCCCCACCTCCACTGTCATTGGCCAAGTGCCTCAAAACGAGATGAATCTTGTCTTCATGTTGCTGTTGTAAATTTACAACGCGCCGTTCGCCTTCCAGTCGAACTTGCTGCAAGTTGCGGCTTAAAATTTGTACTCTATTTGCAATTGTTTCATTCTGCTTTTCATAATCTATAACTTGCAATTCCAGTTTTTTTCCACTTAATCGAAGTTCGATAATCTGAAACGCAAAATCATCCACACATGTTCATTTTTCGTTATAAATTATGTTATAAATACCTTCTGAAAATATTTGTATAACAACATGCGGAGTTCATTTTCGGTAAAATGCATCAATCGTTCCATTAGCAAAACTTCGGCTGGTTCTTCCACTTTTTCAATCGTCTTTTCATGAATATTGCGTTTTCCGCAAAGAAGCTCATTTTTATATTCAATGGTCATATCGATTGCTTCAATGGCTTCTTCATACTGAACGAGTTGCCTCTCTTCCAAATCGTTTAAAAATTGCTTCTTTTTTAATTTGGAGTCCAATTGGCACAGTTGATCTACAAGAAACTCGCGAGATTTTCGCAAATTTCGTATTTCATGCCTATGGTTATCCAGCATTTCACTTGAAACTGACAAACTACTGTCTTCCACATCAGAATTGGACTTGTTAAGTAATACCAAAGCTTTAGAATCTTCGTAGCTTTGTTTGGATTTATCAACTTTTTCATTGGAAACAGTTACTTTGTCATCCAACACTAGAGATTCTAATTCCTTTTTCCTTTTTTCTTCTCGCTTTTTCAGCTTTGTCGTATTGTTCAGCTGCCTCTGAAAACACTTCATACTATCCTCAAGTTCGATTAGCCGTTTTTTATCATCATCTGTAAAGCTCTTCAAATCTTTTATATCCTTTAGTTTATTTTCTACTTCCTCCAACTCTTCCCGATATTTAATTTCAAGAAAGTGATTGTTATTTTTACGTGCCTGAGCCAGTTTTTCCTGGGTAATTTTGAATTCTTTCGTTAGCTTCTGCAATTTATGTTCTACTTTACTGTACGCATTCGTTTTGGTATCTTTGTGTTTTAGCAGTTGGCGAATAAGATTCTCCTTTATCCGTATAGTCTGCTTAAGGTCAGAAATCTGCGTCTCAAAACCCTTGATTCTCAGGTTTATCTGAAATAGTTGGATTGAAAAAATCATTACTCTAGCGCTTGCAAGATGTGGGATGCAAACAAAATCCAAGTTTATCTCAACTTTACCTGTTTTAAAGCTTTCGCTCTAGACTTCGCAGTTAGAGGTTTTTCCAAGTCATAACTTGTGTCGGTCTCATCAAGCACCCCATCGTCGCTAACAGTGGGCTGATTTTGAAAGTCTTCAACTTTGGACAACTGGTCAATTACATGGACGCTATTCCGTCGACCTCTAACCCCTGCTTGGGCATTTATTTATTATTAAAGTTTAATCAGTTTTTTATATCTTTTTTGTCAAGATAAAGGTAGGCTTTTGCAGGAGTCAGTCAGATTATTACTTTATTTGCGCGTAATCACAAATATATGTATGAAATATTAATAAGAAAACGTGGTTTGGAGGTGTGAACAAATATTTACACTATTGTTGAACTTGTAGTTGAGTTTTTGTGAGTATCTGAGTTTTTTGTCAGAATTATTTATTTTATCTAGTTTTTCGTTACTTCCTTAATGCTCCAGAGAAACGACGATAATTTTAAGTCACTCTGTATATTTCTTAATTCTGCTATCACATGAAAACGTGATAAACGGTTGAAGTCGTGTTGATTGATTTATTAATTTCATTTAAACTTTTATGTTTATCTTATCTTCCGCTTAAGGCTAAATCTAACATATTTACCTTTCAAACGAGATGAGCATTTCCCAGAATTATAACTTAGTACGGCTGATGCAAGATCAGCTCCATTGCTTTCCGAAACTAGATTATCAGTCTTTAGTTGAAATTCCACCAGAAGTGCCTCTAAGCTTAAAATAATAAAGAACAAATGCTTTTTAATTAATCTTAGAAAGTTAAATTTACTACTGCATAAATGCAAAATTGTTATGGCAATAAACAGTTGAAAAATCTACTGGTTATTCATAAGATTGTAGATTCATAGATGGTTATTTGAATGACTTTAAAATTATAACCGAAGTCAACGGTTGTTTTTTCATTTGCCTTTAATGAGAGCAGTCATGTTTCATGGGTAAAGTAGAGTAATAATTGTTGACGGTTGTTAATCGGAAACCCTTTCTTTGCAGCTTCCGACTGTGTTTCTTATAATCTGGCGATATTAGCCATGAAAATTAAACAACTTCTTAAAAGCTGCATTTGATTACTTAGTTACTTCCCTTCATTTTAATTCTTTGAACTGTTACTGCTTTCATATTTAATTTATTAATTTATTTAAATTAATTTATCACATCAAAATAATGAAATAACTAATAACGAGCAAACACTTAGAGATGGGGATATACAGTATTAAACGAAAAGAATGAGAGTAATTAAGAAGATAAAAATGTGATCAAAAACAAGGTGTTTCATCGTAAATATAAAAAATGATGAATTTTTTCAACGCGAGCTATTCGAAGTACCAAATTTGCGGAATAATTCAAACTTGAATTGGAAAATCGTAACAATATTAGTCGTAGAAATATTGTAAAAATAGTAAATAAATTAATAACAAAGTTTTAAATTTCTTGAAACAGTCTCTAGTGATGATCAGTGACTAGAAAAAGGTTTGAGATTCCGCCAATCGAGACAGACGAAAAAATCGCCTTTAAAAGTAATACTTTTACTAAAATCTCACTTTCATTTAAATTAAATTGCCAAAAAATTGGATGCAAAATATTTAAGATAGTAGTTACGCTAGTGAAAGGAGGATGGAAACTAGTTAGGAAAGTCAAAGAGTAAACCTTCTGGGATAATTTTAGTTGCAAATAACAACCTTCGCCATAACGTCCAAAAACAGAAATAGGCTATTCTTTTACCCAACACTGTTACTAATTAAGCACACTAACTAGCAAATAAAACGTTGAATGAATACTGTATATATCATAAGTTTTGCTAAGTACTAAAACTGGTACGGTTTTTGAGATAGAAAGAAATACAGTTTACAGTACTCAGTACAGTTTACTCCAACAGTACGCTGATACTCAGAGCAAAATCATGTTCACTGTGTTAGAAGATTGCTCCCGTTTTTGGAATAAGATGGACCGAAATCTGCAGACTGACTTAGTTATTTGACAGTGAAAAACCTGAACAGAAGGAAAGTTAATAAATTGTTTGCAATTTTTTAAAGTTTGTAAAGAAACTACATACCCAATTTGATGTTCATCATCATCATCATCTTCATCATCATCAACCGAGTCTTCTTCACTCTCTGAACTGTTTTCATTAGAAAAGTCTTCAATTTCTTCTTCGATCTTTTCCAGTGATCTACGCGGTTCTGAAGCACTACTTAAACACTCTTCACACTCCTGTTTCAATATTAGCCATTGTGAGATTTGTTCCAGTTCAGTCTTCTTCAAATCGCCCGCATTAATGAGCTTGTGAAACAACTCCTCAGCATTTGATACTAATTTTAGAAGTTGATTAGCTGCGAACTGAAGACTGAAAATATCGAAATTTTCAGCAGCGGGGTTTTGCGGAGTAACATAGGAATTGACGGTTACATAATTCATTATCAGTTGTACTCTGGCAGCTAAGCTTAGCACGTAGGTGGTGTGTCCAAAATCTTGAATAAGCGGAGAAACACAACATAAAAACACAGTCTTTGCCCTTCCCCCAAACGAATCTCTTAGAAGGGTTGTCAATACTGATTGATCATAGGGAATTGAAATGGAATTGGAATTTGGTGAATTAGACAGCGTCCCAGTATTTCTAATTTGCTGATCAGCGAGCAGCATTATGCAGGTTTGGAGTGCTTGAATTGCCATATCGGATGGTGCTGCCTGGAACTTTCCATGAGGATCACATAAAACAATATTTTTACATCCAGCTAGATCAACGAAGCTTGCGGTGGATATTTTACGATGGACTGAACCGTTCAGTACCTGATGCTGTTCTAATGTAACGGTGAACAGTGTGTGTACCGATTTTCCAGCCAAATTGGTCAAGCCTAAATGAATGACTTCAAAAGCATGTAAAATATCTCCTACTTCCACACTGGGAGAGTCGAGTAGATTCTCAACGGAAGCGCCTGTAATCTGAGACCAAGCTATATGTACAGACCATGTTTCCTCCAGGATATTTGGTTTCGGCTTTTTGCCATTCAGCCTCGTTAAAAATTCTCTTATGAACCTGGGAATCATCCCATATTCGAATTCACTTGTATATTGGACGCCAGGTCCATATAACGTATAAGTTTTGCCTGTTGCTATTTGCCCGAAGGTAACTACACTGACATCACATCCATCCAGGAAATATTGAATTAGTGGCTCTATGGCTTCAATGAATACAGTTTTCTGAGAACAATTGTAGGGTAAAGCATGATCTACTTGGTAGGTGCTACTATTAGCTACTTTGATCACATTATTTACACTGTCACTTTCTACATACAGTTGATTTTGTCTGACATCTAGCATAGGGCATATTCTTACTGCCGTTTCTACTTGAGTATCCATTATTACCACCTTTGTATTAGTAGCAATGTTAAGTAGTATTTTTATTTTTCTCTAAAGTCCTCATAGAAAGTCAATTGTGTTTGTAGTTCACAATGGGATAGTGCATTTCACACAACCCACAGCGTTATAAAAATGCAACTCTCTTCAAACACAAATTGCAAAGTCCAGAACTACTAGCCCTCAAAAGCCTTAAAAGCACCATTTTCCTTGGACACAGCACAAATTTACTTGTTTGGAATGTGGAACAGGGTGAAAGTGTTATGGGCTTCTCCGTACTTTAAATAACTAAAGTTTATTAACTAATTTCAATCTCCTGGTAAATTGAGGATTTCTTCTTCTTCTTTGGGGTTTTTTTGGCACAACCAACTAGGGGTATTTTGCCAGCTCGTCACGTAAGAGGTCCAGTAAGCGGGCGTGTGCCCCTGATCCTCTAAAGTCTTACTCACTAACAGTAATATTATAGTGTTTTTTTTTAGTTTATGTTTGCTTGGTGTATCTTTTCAGTCTTCTTGTTTCTTTTTGCTTGCTATAGGTATTATATCTGGCCCAGGATGAACAACACAGCTACACACATATAGGACACATCAGTCATTTTCACACATTTACAGGGAGAACAGGTGGATTGGTGCTAAAACGAAAAACTATAGGAGTCTTGTACTCTACAATCTTATGTTATTGCTTGTTAGGAAGCTATTGATTAGTTCAATT